CATTGTGCTTATTTCATCTTCTCCCTTTGTATAAAATGAATAGTTATTTATATCATACCCACCCCAACATATCACATCAAAGTTTGGCTCACATGCTAGCCACTTTAGTGTATCAGAAACTGTATTGTCACCTTCAACTTGTTGTTTAAACCACTTCAAAAAGCTCTTGTTGTGTTCAGTGATCACCCACTTTTTAGGCATACGTGGATTATTTCGCTTCACAATGTCTTTATGAGCACTTAAGTAGGGGATGACTTCTTCACTCGTTATTCAATATGTACAAATGCGCTTGAAGTACTTCATCTCGACACATTGTCACAACTTTTGCACCTCGAGTTCCTCTACCAAGACCTATTCCATGGTAACGAGTCTTAGTTAACCCTATAGCTTCAACTTCGATAAGTATTGTGTGCAAAACTCAATAGCTTCCTCTCGCAATATATCTTTGAACAATTGATGCTTCAGGACGATATTGGTTCTTCACATACCCTTTTAATATCTTCATGTATCGCTCAATAGGGTACATCCATCGTAAGAAAACTGGACCACAAATTCTAACTTCCTTGGCTAGATGAACAATCAAGTGAACCATAATATCAAAAAATGATGGAGGAAAGTACATCTCAAATTGACACAATATGACTGCAGCCTCATTCTCTAACCGATCCAAAACATCCGGGTCCATAACTTTACTACATATGGCATTAAAAAAAAGCATAATCGAGTTAAGGAATATCTAACATTCTCTCGGTAAGATACCTCGAATAGCCACAGGTAGAAGTTGTTGCATCAATACATGACAATCATGAGATTTTAACCCAAGCAATTTTAGATCTTTCATAGATACAAGTCTCTTCACATTGGAAGAGTAACCAAATGGAACTTTCACACCTCGTAAAAACTCACAAAAACTTCTTTTCTCTTTTTTAGACAAGTGTGTGACATGCTTGGAGGCAAGTATGTTCGGTTACCATGAGGTTGAGGAGCTAATTGTTCTCTTATACCCATTTCAACCATGTCCAAACGAGCATTGACACCATCTTTTGTTTTTCCTTGAATGTTAAGGAGCGTTCCGATGATACTCTGTCACACACATTTTTCTCTACATGCATGACATCTATACAATGCCTCACATCAAGAACCCTCCAATATGGAAGAACAAAAAGGATTGACATTTTCTTCCATATACCCGTGGCTTTCTTTTGCGTCTTTCCAAACTCACACGAAATCGCACTTACTCGTTGATATACTTGTTCCCCTCTTAAAGGTGTTGAGGCTGCATCATTTTCTTGACACCCGTTAAATGATTTTTTTAATTTACGATATGAATGGTTTGAAGGAAGAAATCTTCGATGTCCAAGGTACACTCGTTTTCCTTCCATGTTGTAGTTGATAGTGACATGTCTCTTCTTCACATATTGGGCAAGCTTTATGTCCCTTTGTGCCGTAGCCACTCAAATTACCATATGCTCGGAAAGTCATTAATTGTACAAAATAACATTGCACGCAACTTGAATAAGTCACCTGTGTACCCATCAAACACATCAACACCTTCCTCCCACAACATCTTCAACTCTTCAACCAATGGGCTTAAAAAACATCAATGTCATTTCCAGGTTGTCCGGGACCCGAGATCATCAAAGATAGCATCAAGTACTTACGTTTCATACACAACCACTGGAGGTAAGTTGTAAATAACTAACACCACAGGCCATGAACTATGTTTATCGCTTAAATTTCCATATGGATTCATTCCATCTCGTAGCAAGTCCAAACCTAATGTTTCTTGGATCATTACCAAAATTCTGGAAGATGGAATCAATTTTTTTCCATTGCAATCCATCTGCCGGATGCCTCAACTGACCATCTTTAATACGACTATCCGCATGCCATCTAGTGAGCTTTGCATCATTTCCATTAGTGAATAATCGTTTCAACCTTGGAACAACGGGAAGATACCATAACACTTTTGCCGGGTACCCTTCATTACATCATTGTCGGAATCACCATCCTTCTTCTTGTATCGTGATTCCCCGCATTGTGGACATTCGTGATGGCTTCTCAAATTCTTTCCTGTACAACACACAATCATTCGGACATGCATGAATTTTGTGGTACTCCATACCCAATGGACACAATATCTTCTTAGCATCATAATTGCGGGTTGGCAATGTGTTACCTTCAGGGAGCATGTCACTCAACAACTCAAGCAATTCTGTGAAACTTTTATCAGTCCACCCATTCTTTGCCTTCACATTGAACAATTTTAGTACCGCCGACAATTGTGTGAACTTAGTACAATTTGTATACAAAGGCTCTTTTGCATCATTGGACAACTTCTCGTACACATGTGTATGTTGGAAGGCATCTTGTCCAAGCTCACGAATCATTTCCTCCAGCTTGATCATCCATCTCTAGATCAACTTCTTCTTTGTCTTCTACACTTGGCATGTTTAATAATTCACCATGCCATGTCCACTTTATGTAACTCTTTAGGAAACCATCACAAAGAACATGTTCCCGAATAACTTCGATTCGGTAATCTTCGCTCATTCAAGCAGCTTAACACAAGGGCAATAGAATCTTCCATCATTATCCTGAACATTCATCTTAGCAAATTCAAGGAATTGTTCTACTCCACTCTCATATTCATTTGTTGTTCGTCTATAATTGATCCAACTCCGATCCATTGTTACAAATCTAATTTTCAAAATCAAATTAGCTACAGAAACACGAAATAACTACATTATAATGCCTACACGAAATCCAACTCCACTCTCAAAATAACTACATTATAATACAAATCTAATTTTCTAAATCAAAATCACGAAAGAATGCCTACAGAAACACATTCAAATGACTAAACTACTTACAATACATCTCTAAGCTAAAGGCACCCGTGATGTTTCCCTCTCTTGACGACATTATTACTTACCAGATTCAATACCGTAAACCTACAATGGTTAAAGCAAGCACGAAAACTTACCTCTTGAAGACCTACAGAGGTGGCAGTGTGGCGTGACGTGCGAGAGCCGGGTGGGGAGAAACGTATCACAGGCGACGGGCACCAACGACAGTAGCAGCAGGCGACACGACGTACAGCGTTGGCAGGTGGCGTGACGAGCAAATGTGGGTGCGAAGAAACGTACACAGGCGAACGGGGAGCTCTATTATGGGTGAACTGATGAAATGAAATGGAGCGTAGGGAGAAACGTACACAGGCGAACGGGGAGCTCTGCTATGGGTGAAGTGGTAAAACAGAAGATACTATGTCGGTTGCCCTAACACCCGTCATCAAAGACACTTTCTATGTCGGGTAATATTTAACCGACATAGAAAGTGAACTTTCCACTTACTATGTCGGTTAAAATTTACCCAACATAGAAAGTTTATGATTTTATTACAAAATTGCCACCGCGCTACATACTATGACGGGTGGATTACGACCGTGATAAAAACTCGTCATAGAATGCTATTTTTCCACTAGTGTTCTAGAATTATGTAGAAAACATATGTGTACTAGGAGAAACTACAACATGATTCTAAAAAAAGAAAAAGAAGAAGAAATGTGTAGAAATAGAATAGTGTAGAAACAATGAAATTAGTAGAAAATTCTAGAATCTTGTAAGTAAAACCTATAAATAGGCATGAAAGAAGTCTTTGTATGTGTGAAAAATCTAATACAAGCTCCTACATATCTTATAACTCTTCTAACATCAATTACTATCTTTCCTCATACAAATCTTCTCCTATTTGTCCACCTCTTTCTAAAAAATATTTTCTACACAAATCTCACTACTTAAAATCAAACCATCTTTCCTATCCTTCCTAAAATACTAACATGGGCGACTATGTTTATGTGTGCCTCCACCCCCGCAGGCAAGCTTCTGTTTTTGGTCCTTACATTAGCAAACTCCAGAAGCACTTTTTTTTGGCCCTTTTAAAGTCACCAACAAACTCGGGGCAGTCGCATATGAATTGGAACTTCCCCCTTCTGGTTGAATTCACAAAGTCTTTCACGTTAGCTTCTTACGCCCACATAAATGCCCTCTTCCCAATCCACTACTCAATCTTCCTCCGGAAATTGACGAGCATCAATCCATACTGGAACCTGCGGCTATTCTAGATTGGAAGTGGGATAATTCTACCTCCAACCCTCAAATACAGGTCCTCATATAGTGGTTGGGATTACCCCTCGAGGAAGGAACTTGGGAGCCTTGGCATGTCATTCAGTCCCAATTCCACCTTGAGGACAAGGTGACTCTTGAACGGGAGATGTAAGGATCACTGGGCCTATTACACTGATTCCCTCCAATTTACAGTTGCATCATCACAGTTGGGCCACTTCACTGATTCAGAGACTGTGATTGGAAGGACTAGTAAAAGGCAACCTCAGCTACCTCATCACTTTAAGGATTATGTGGTGACTCTATCTTATGCACGTGAGAAAGGCAAATCCGTTAAAAATGATTAGGGAATTATAAGTTTGTTATGATTTTTCTGTTTTTTCTTTTCCTTTTATTTTAATTGCCTTATTATTGTTAGGCGGTTGTAGGAATGTGTATATATAGCACATTTTGGTGCATTAAAAGAGGACAAGAAAGTATTTATTATTCTTCTGCTCTCCTTCTTTGTTATTCTCTTATTTAATCTAATTTACATTTATATATATATATATATATATATATATATATATATATATATATATATATATATATATATATATATATATATATATATATATATATTAATACACATCAGCCTCGAAACAATAACACCATATATCTTACTATCATCATGTAAGACTGCAACTAAAATTAGTTGTGACCAGCTGTGACGGGTACTGTAATTTGCGATAAGATTAAAATCATTTACAGCCACAGAATCTTCGAACTTTAACATTTACAACTCCTCTTTGTGTTGCAGGTCACATTCTCTAAAACCAATTATAGTATAGCACTGCATTTCTGTTTTGGGAAGCTCATAGATTAGCATAAAAAATGGGTGAAACAAAGTTGAGCCTCGTGAAGGACAACAGGTGGTCACTCCATGGCATGACAGCTCTTGTAACAGGGGGCACCCGAGGCATAGGGTTCGTCTTCATTCCTTATTCCTGTCTCTACTCATTACTTTGGGACATATGACTTAGTTTGCTTTTTATTCACTTCATTTTTTATTTTTCATTTTTAATATATTAGGCATGCCATCGTGGAGGAATTGGCAGAATTTGGGGCATCTATTCATGTATGTTCCCGAAACCAAGATGACATTGACAAGTGTTTACAGGAATGGAAAAACAAGGGATTCAATGTGACAGGTTCAGTATGTGATGTGTTCCACCGTGATCAACGCCAAACACTTATGGAAACTGTTTCCTCCATCTTTCATGGAAAGCTCAACATTCTAGTAAGATTCAAGCACACACGTTATAATTTGTGAATGGATAATTTCCCTGACATAAATATAGGTTTATAAAACCTAATATTGTTAAATAAAGTTTCTAAAAACTTCCCCATTGCATGATGAGTAATGAACTTAAAAAAAAAAAAAACTATTACTCAGTATTTCTACTTTAATTTTTTAATTTATACACGGAGAGAGAATGATATTAAAATAATTACTTAATTCTTTTATTAAAAATTTAATTAAAAAAATTTGAATCAATTGATGATATATTTAATAAATTCATCTAATTTATATATTTTGTGATACACTCATACTTCTGAGTAATACAATTTCTCTTACTAATTTGATTGGAACGAATATGTGAAACTTCTATCAGGTGAACAATGCTGCGAGGTACATAACGAAGAATATGATAGATCACACTGCTGAAGATATATCACTTATACTGGGTACCAATTTCGAGTCGTGTTATCACTTGAGTCAACTTGCATATCCTCTTCTAAAAGAATCTGGATATGGGAGCATAGTATCTATTTCCTCCATTGCAAGTGTAAAAGCTCATAATGTAATATCTGCTTTTTCAGCAGCTAAAGGTATATACATGCCAGTTTCTTGTCTAGTTTTTCTCGTACATTATTGTGAATCATATTTATTAATTGAATGAAACGAATGGAAGAAGACATTTTATATCTAAATATATAATTTAATGCAGGAGCCATGAATCAGTTAACTAAGAACATAGCATTGGAGTGGGCAAAGGATAACATTCGTGCAAATGCTGTAGCACCCGGAATAGTTATGACTTCACTCTTGGAGTCAGTCCTGGTAAGTGAATGGTTGATAAAGAATGTAATGATTGTTGCAGTTAGTAGGAAATCTAATTAACTGCAGTTATAGTTAAATAGGGTCTTTACAATATTTTATAAATATGAATTGTAAGAATAGTGTTTTATACACTTATCGAATATACATTTTACAGTACTTTTAGCGTCTCTCTCAATTCATTTGTCTCTCCCGATTATTGTTCTAGTCATCTCTTTTCCATAGTAGTGATACCTTGGTGTATGAAGATGAAGATTATATTTGGTTTCTAAGATGTCTTGGACGTGATATTGAATGGATACAAGGGGCTACCAAAGAACCCCACTGAAGCATAGTGTGCAACGTTTTGAGGGGTAGAGAAACGTGAATGCAAAACTATGTTCTATATTCATTAGTGTGCCGATGAAAGCAACTTTGAGAAAATATCATTGGAAAACTTGATGAAAGAAGTCTGAGATATACTGGCGTAGAATTATGCAGGTGTAAAGAGGTTGAATATTGTGAGACTTTAAACCTTGAGTCGTCACTATAAGTTGTTGCAGATGGGGACATAAGAAACCATCCAAAAATTCTTGTCGATCACAAACTTGATGAAACCAAGTGGTGAAAGTTTGAAAGAACGAACAGTGGTGGAGAAGGTGTTGAGAACCCTTGATGCTAGGTTCGATAAATTTTTGTTGCTATCAAAGAGTTCAAGAATCTTGATTTGTTGAAATTGGATGAATTACAATGATCATTGAAGACTCACAAACAACGATTTCATGAGAGAACAGAAGAGAAGTCCAACGCAAAATAAGCGTTGTTGACAAACAAAACCAAAAGAATGAAGGAAATAGAGAAAAATCGAACAGGATAGGTTAAGGAAGAGAAAGAGGTAGAAATAATGATGGACGAGACTTAGAAGAGTAACATGATAACTCTTCACAATCGAGAGATGACAAAGGCAGTAACTCACAATAGAGAGGTGGTCGATCAAATTCAGATGCGAGTAAAAAGAATGTACAGTGTTGGAGCAAAGAAGACGAAGCTAATGTTGTACAGAAAGACGACTTGGAGGATGAAGTATTTTTGATGGAGACTTTAGGTGAATCTTGGTATTTGGATACCAGTTATTCGAATCACATAGCGTTTTAGAAGAGTTAGTTCATCGATATCAATGAAAATGTGAAATTGAAGGTGAAATTTGTAGATAATTTGATAGTGAGATGTCAAGAGAAAGGAAGAATCATGATCAGAAGGAGAGATGAGAAATCTTCAATAACTTTGGATGTGTTCCATGTTTCAACTATAAAACATAATCTATTGAGTATCAGTCAACTTTTTCAGAAAGGACATTTGATCAATTGGAGATCGAAGGAGCAGATGTTGAGAATCCTTAATAAGAATAAAACACTGATTTTGAAGGTAACTCTAAACAAGAACATAATTTTTCAAGTCAATATTCTAGTATCGAATAACTTGTGCTTTGTAGTAATAGTCTCTGGTGTTAATTGGTTATAACATTTGAGATATGGTCTTCTTGACATTGATAATTTGAGTCAACTTATAGAGAAGGAGATGGTGATTAAACTGACTAAAAGGTTGCATGATAGGAAAACAAGCTAGAAATTCGTTTAAGGTGCACATCGAGACCAAAAGTAGGTACTTTGTGACATTCATCGATGACTATAATAAGAAGATGTGGATGTACATGCTCAAGAAGAAATCAAAGGTGTTTAGTCGATTTTAAATCGATGGTCGAGAAATAGAATGGTAGAGCTATCAAAGTGTTAAGATCAGACGATGATGGAGAATACAATAATGATGGGTTTGCATTATTCAACAAGGAGAGAGGTATTATGCATGAGATTGTACCCCCATACACATCACAACATAATGAAGTTGTAGAAAAGAGAATTCAAACTATTTTAAACATGGTCAGAAGTATGTTGAAGACCAAAGGCATGCTACATTCTTTTTAGAGAAAAACGATATCAACAACTATATACATCTTGAGTCGATGCCCAACAAAAAGAGTGAAGGAGAAAACACTAGAGGAAGTATGGTTAGGGAGAAAGCCAATATAAAACGCTTGAAAATATTTGACTCGATTACTTAGAGACATGTTTCTGATGAGAGGAGAAAGAAACTCGATGTTAGAAGTTAGAAGTAAATTTTGGCAGGATATCATTCAACTGGTGTGTATAAGTTATATGATCCTACCAAGAAGAAGATCATCTTCAGCAGATATGTTGTTGATGAGAAAGATTATTGAAAATGGTGTTCGATGGTAGAAAATCGAAGTGTTAACTTCGATGGCTCAGGTGATGCAAAAATTGAAGGTAATGATTGATCGATTTTCAAAATCGAGGGAGAAAGAAATCAATCGAGACTTGATATTGAAGGTAGAAATCGATCGACATCAGAAATTGAAGGGAGCAGGAATCAATAGAGACTTGAGATCGAAGGAAGAAATCGATTGTATCATAAATCGAGGATAGTAAAAATTGATCGATATCAGAAATCGCTCAATTTTCAAAGTTGAAAAGGACAAAAATCGACCGATTTTAGGAATTGAAAGAAGGATAAATTGACTTACAAGATCGATTAAAACACTAACAAAATTCAATGATTTTGTGATCTATTTTAACAATAATATAACAATAATTGGACAAATGATTAGAGAAATGGAGGATGAGAATGATCTTGTACATTTAACATTGTATGTGTATATCGAGACTGAACTAATTTGCTTTGAAGGCGCAATCGAGGATCCCAAGTGGATTCGAAGTCATGAAAGAGGAGTTGTTGGGAATTGAGAAGAATAAAACATGGAATCGAGGACCATTACATGAAAATTACATCGATCGAGAAGACAAAAAGAAGGATAAAAGATAAAGGATAGTTGGCCTAACTAATTGTCGATACATTTGAATACTATCTCTACAATATTCTATAAATCTCTATCTCTCTCTATTATTGTTCTAGCCGCCCTTTTCTACTAACAATGTATAGTAAGTTTATCAGCAACATTAATTCATGATTGGCAACAAGCACTTGATAATGTAAAAATGAACTTTACAATACCTTCCTTAATGGATATATTTGTATAATTTAAAATATTTAATGAACTATCATGAAAGGACAAAAATAATAACAAGAGAGAAAATGAACATGCACATAAAACAAGAGGAAGAAAAGAAAAGCCATAAAAAAGAGGCAATATTATTGAAAAAAAATCCATAAGAAAATCATGATAGAGAAAAAAGAGGAGAGAGAAAGGTAACGAAGGGTCGAACTTAATAAAATTGGAGATCGGATTATTGATCATTTGATCGAGTTGTTGATCATTAACAAAGTTGTATTATGATAATGAACGACTTGAATGTTGTAAAAAAAATTATCATTTTGAGAGACCCCTCAAACTAGGTATGGATATTCAACATGCTCAACTTGGAATAGAGAAACTTGAAGGTGGAAGGAAGTAGAACTTTGGTCATAATGTCAGCTTTGGAAAGGTTGGTACTGATTGGGATGAGTTTGATGATACCTTTGTTAAGTTTTACGGACAATATAATAGTTTATTTCAATGTGTTTAGTCCATTTATGGAAGACTTGATTAGAAACTATTGGGATATTAGATTGATTATTATAGTATAAAAGAGGGTGGACTTGGGATGAGGTATCCTTAAATTATCCATGAGATAATGTAACTGTTAGATATTGTTAAGATATTATTAGATATTATTAACCACAATATCAAATAATATATTTTGTTTATTCTGTTTACTTTCAGTTACTCTTTTAGTTGTACCTTTATCTATTATAAATAGATTACCCTATGTGTGGTTTATACACAAGGGAGATTAATCTCAAACCCTATTTCCTCTATATTCAACATGATATCTAGAGCTTAAGGTTATTTTGAAATTTTTTTGCCTTTGTCCACTACTGGAGCCGCCACCGTTGTCGTTGTTAGTTAAATTGATCTTCCACATAAAAAAAAGAGTTATTTTTGTTACTGGATATTATTTGGTAGTGTGAAAGTGCATGTCTAGGAAGGTTCTGACAAGGAAAGACTAGGTATTTAAGCATGTCCATTAGTGACCCACCTCTCTTTTCTGGGAACTTACCTGGTGTACTTGTTCACACTGTTGTCACTGTCGTCGTCGCCTCCGCCCTTTATGACTTCTTCCGCTCCTTCTAGTACTTCCAATTCTGTCAGTATTGCGTATGATCCTTCCATCTACACTAACTATGTTAATATGCACTTATCTATTGACAAGTTAACTAGCCCTAATTATGCCATATAGTCATCAGACGTCAGATTATGGCTTAAGAGTCAGAAGTATCGTGATCATCTTGCCCCGAAAGCACCTACTCTCACTCCTGATGAGGAAAACCGTTAGGATACTATTGATGCTCAATTATGTGTGATTCTCAAGGGTACTCTTGATCCTTCGTTAAAACAAATTTTTCGTTCCTACGAAATGTGTGCCAAAATCTGGGAACATGTCAAGTTATTATACATCAATGATACTCAAAGTCTCTATGATGTCTATTCTAAATTTGTAGATGTTATTGCCTTTAAACATCAAGATTCTATGACTGATTATATGGACAAAATTCATGCTCTTTTTCATAAGTTCAATGAGCTATTGCCTCCTTCCCCCGACCCTGCCACCGAGATAACACAACGATCAAAGTTCTTCATGATAGGGGCATTACACGGACTTATTGATCAATATTCACATATCCGTGATCAGATTTTGGGTTCTCTGGTTGTCCCCACCTTGACTTTGACCTGCTCTACTCTTTTGCATGTACCAGCAAAACCCAACCCTGACACACTTGCTTTTGTTAATGATTCTTCTGTGTTGGTATCTCACCATGATGATCGAACTCACCCTCCCAAACAGGGAAAATGGCATCCTAAGTGTGAGCATTGTGGCAAGCTAGGTCACAGGATTGACCAGTGTTATGCATTACATGAGTGTGAACATTGTGGCAAGCTAGGTCACAAGATTAATAAATGTTATGCATTACATGGTTGTCCTCCTCGATCTACTGCAGTTGTTCAGATTGATCTTTCCCCA